TTATTTTTCTCTCCCACAACTGTTCCCTTATATATTTTTCCTTTTTAGAGTCTTTTCCAGTTCAACACTAAGCATCGTCTAAGCACTTAGCTGCTCACTAACTTTATATTTCATGGTTATTAGTATCATAATTCCACTCACTTTTGAAACACACTGAATCATATTTTTTCACTCTGTTACTAACACCCTTTTCACCTTGGTTTTCTAGTAATTCTTAAGATTAATCTGATTGCTAATGTGATATGGTGGGATTATGCTTTGTCTTCTTCCAACCAGTTCACTTGAATTACTTTCAATTTATTATTAATATTACTTTGCTCTATGTCCATCAATGTACTGATTATGTACTGCTTTTTAAAAATAAGAATTTATATACTTTTGCAATGTAGTTTCTTATGAATATGTTTAAAACATTCTTTGTGTGTATACACTATAATATTTGTAATCATGAGCAGTGTTGCTCAATAGATTCTGTATGTATTATAGATATTGGGGGGAAATGTGGACGCCCACCTCTTGTGGAGAATGGAGACATCACGGACTCACCTAAGGCAAACTATTTCCAGTCTGAAAGTGTAACTTATCAGTGCCAAAATCTCTATACAATGGAAGGTTCTCCCAGAGTGACTTGTCAAAATGGTCATTGGTCACAAACACCAACATGTAGAGGTATAAGTAATATCTATAATTCTTTATAGATTTATTCTTTATAGAGAAATATTGTACTTTGGGAATGGAATAAATTTCATGACATCAGAGCTGCTATGTCAGTATGTTAGTGTCAAAAGATATTTTACTGCCTTGTAATGGAATTAGAAGCGGTAGTATTCTGAAGCAAGATGAAGTAACTCTCTCAGGGAGAAACTGCCTAATAATGGAAAATTGTACAAAATCTTCCACCATTTACAAAAGTTGTCCTCATTTTGTGTAACCTTCCTGATGAAATTCTGCTTTCCCTAAGCTACATTTCACAAAGACATCTTTTTAGTCAGTGGCATGATTGAAAAGAACTTGTAAAAATTCAGATTTTAGTTTACTTGAGTTCAGTATGTGGACTTTCTTTTTCTTAGTATTTCACAGCTGAGAACACAGTGCACTCTAATCATCATCATCAATCCATCCATCCATCAATCAATCAATCAATCAATCAATCAATCATTTCTTGAACAAAAATTACAAAAAGCCATGTTTCCTTACTTTTTTTAATAATAGTATTAGTTGAATCTCTAGAGAACTAAAATTATTGTTCTTTAAAATGGGCATTTTTATAAGTCTTCTGACTTAATCACATCTACCCTGATTAGTCAATGTTGAAAAAGAAGATATCAGGTGATATTTTAGGAAAAGTTGCCTGAACTTGGTCTTCTACTAATTCAGACTTCAGTATGAGGAAACTTGGAAGAAGAAGGAGACTATTTTTTTTCCCTTCCTTTTACACATGTAACATTGTCTTGCTTAAAAGAGGTTTGTGTATGTTAGGCAGTTTAATTCATGACTGATAATAGTTGAAAGACAAAAGGAAAAGGGAGGGACAATGAGAGAGAAAAATCCTTTTACATAGATCTCTAATCATTTTATCCTATTGCAACATAGAATTTCTAACCTAAACTTTAATTGTTTTATCAAATGAATACTTCAAACTTTGTATATGTCATTTGATCTGTGTCCTTCTGCAGGTGCTTGTACAGCAAGTGAAGAAGATATGAGAGAACACAATATAAAGCTGAAGTGGGCCAATGGGAATAAAATATATTCTGCAGATGGAAATATCGTTGAATTTCAATGTATAAGACGCCATAAACTACATCCAAATTCCAGATCATTAAGAGTTAATTGTGTGAATGGGAAATTTGACTATCCGTATTGCATTCCTGTATGTATACTTTTAGAAAAATACTTTAATTCACCAATATTAAGATTTCTTTCCCTTTTCTATATCTATATACCTCTATATCTATATTTATGCATTGAAAAAAAATCACTAAAATAGTTAAAAGGCATAAGTCTGGCAACTAAAGTTGTGGATGTAATGGATTTTGAGATAACTTGGTCTTCTGCAATTCTTCTAACTCAGACAACTTCTTAAGATTCCTATGATCTAAATAAAATTCCCTCCATTCAGAGCAATGGGAGAGAAGCACTATGGGGACGGGGGGTAATACTTAAAAATAATGAGGAATGGGGCATGGAATGCTGAATCTGCCAGCATTTCATCTCTTCTGGTCTGTTGCTGAATCCTGACAGATTCCAAGATGAATATCAGGAGATTTCTCTGTGTTGGAGCTGAAATGAGTGGAAACTCTACTTTAAACCCAGTGGGCTATTTTCACTGATTTCATTGGCCTCAGTCAACAAATTTAATTGCCTCGGAATGAATGGTTCCAAATAAACACCCATACATTTTACTTTATGTATTTCAGTTGCATTGATATTGAAATATTCTCCTGACCTTCGAACTTGCATATGCAACTTACTCATGTGTCTACATGCATATTTATAAATACCTGTCAGAAGCCACAGCACTAGGATAAAAAATAAAATTCACTGAATTAGTAACCACTAATAACAGCAATAGCAATAGCACTTAGACTTATATACCACTTCAAAGTGCTTTACAGCCCTCTCTAAGTGGTTTACAGAATCAGCATATTGCCCCCAACCATCTCGGTCCTCATGTTACTGACCTCAGAAGAATGGAAGGCTGAGTCAATCTTGAGCCAGTGAGAATTGAACTACTGAACTGCTGAAAGCTGGTATGATATTGTAAAATAAGGTATCCCATGAAATATTTTCAAACTTAGAATAAATGGAAAAATATATTGAACAAGAAGACTCTCTGAAATGAACTGGACAAGAAAAGTTATCCATCACTAAATGAAATTTTATTGACTTCAAGGGACAACCAAATCCATCTAAGAATTACTTGCTTTCTCCTGAAAACTTTAGAGTGCACACTGATTGAATTTGTTGCACTGAAGGGAATAAAATCAATGAAAATGAAAATGAAAAGTTAAATTAGAGTTTCCACTCATTTCAGCCTCAGGACAGAGGGATCTCCTCGTCTTCAATCTTGGAATCTGCCAGGATTCAGCATCAGACTAGAGGTGAAATGATGGGTGATGTTTGTACTTCCCTGTCCCAGGCCTAATTGTTTTTAAGTATTACCCCCATCCCCATAGTACTTCTCTCACATTGCTCTGAATGGAAATAATTTCATTGGAATATTATTGTATGATGAGGGCTTTCATTTAAAACTGCAATTAATGCAAATGGGATTAGTAAAATACCAATTTGTGTTGAGATATATGTAAATATCAAATAATTCTGTAGTGGACATTTTATTGGAACTTATTCTTTCTTAATTAAGAAGGAAATGGGGACTTTCTTAGCATTGCTGGACTACAATTCCCAGTAATCCTTCTATTGGCTGTGTTGTCTGAGGATAATGGGAGTTTGTTTATTCCCTGCATTTATATCCCATCTTTCCTCAAGTGTATCCCCACTCCTATATTTAAAATGTTGGTGCTTCAGGTTCATTCTGACTGCCAGAATTTATATCCCAAAATATCAAGAATTGCCTAATAAATAAATTGCCTAATAAAAGTTTATTACATGTCATTGTCTCAAAAGCCATCTTAAAAATAGAAAGAAACTGCTCAGTGATAGAATGGTCTACAGTTTTTGAGTAGTTTTGAGTAGTTTTAGCCATTTGGCTTTAAAAATGACGATAACGACATGTCAGAACCTTATTGTCCATGTAATTTAATATCTTAACATTATTGCAGGCTGCATTCTGCTGCAGATCAGATGAATCAGTTTTAAAAAGAATTACATAAACTGTTCAGAAACAAATTTGTTTCTTTACTGTTCATTTTTTATTTTACAGATCTAAGTAAATGAACAACAGGACATTTACAACACCCTTTCAACCGAAGACGAATATCTGCAATTATATATTATTCTCTTTAATATGATCACATGAAGCTGGATTGCATACAGTTAAAAATAGTAGATCCAAAAGCCTATTTCATAAAAGACAAATTTTATCAACTGTAATTACTGAGAAAATGATAACACTTAAAAACAAGTTTGTAGTCCATCTTTAGGGCAGATAATGTAAAATTATAAATCTTTTTTAAAAATGCATCTGGAGTGAGGAATGAAGAACTTTTTCTATATACATTTTAGCTTTAAACATTTGATTAATCTGAATGATCAATCAGCAATGCATCCTAAAGCAAAAAGAATAGATAATAGTAATATTTTAATATATAGATATGTTGGATTCTTCAAAAAATGATTTTTATTGCCAAACAATTTATAATATATTTTGTAAAGAAATAGAGGTATACAGTAAACACTTCAATTCACTATCCAATTCAGTTGCTCCTTCTTAGCTTGCTTAGCTTAGCTTCTTAGCTTAGCTAGTTAGCATAATCGAACTAGATGTTCATAATCAGAAGGTGGATTTCTGCCTGTTCTAATATCTAACATGGAAAAATCACAAACAGATACAAAGTTCTTATTTTTTTTGGTTTGTTTTCCTTTTTTTTCCTTTTGACAGTATGAAATTGTATAAATATATATTGACTTATTAAATTTATATGCTGCCTTTCTCACAGCAAGTAACTCTAGGCAGTTTACAACAGGTTAAAAATGACAATATAAAAGAGTAAAGCAATAAAACAATAAATATTAACATTAACATTAGCAAAGATAGCCAAAGCGGGGACTAATAAACAATGGGGTGAACGTGCAGTCTTCTCTTTATCCACCAACCATCTCCAGTATGGAATGCCCCCATCCAATGCCCCCAAGTCAATCAGCAGAGCCACATTTTAATTACAATAAATAATAAAAGATTAAGCTATAACTTAGAAATTGCTGCAGGGTTTCTAACTACATACCTTCAAAAACTGCTAATTGACACAATATGGGCTAGAATTTGCTGGGATATAAATTCAGACTAATTCATTGAATATGTTCTGCACAAAGTGATGTTCAGACTTGGTAGAGCTGTGATTCATCAGGGGCACCATTAACTTATCTCTTAGCTGTAGGCTAAGAGCACAAGCACTGTCATTAGTGCCTCGGCCACAGGTGCCTGTAAAGTTCTACAGTTTAAAAACTCCACCCTAATTTTGAGAAATAACAAATAATATGGTAGCCTCAGATTCCAAAGAAGAGTTTACTGAATCCGCAAACCTTTTTACGCCGTTAGACACCACCAACATGTGGGACAACTCAAGACATATTTTCATAGAATGCAAGAAAACCTGTTGTAGAGGTTTTAATAAACAAAATGGTTACTTCAGGCCCATCTTGCATGGATGTTGCAAGCTGTGTTGTAATGTCACTGATTAGGAACAGTGGAAAACAGAAGACATATAATGCTTACCAAGCCTGTGAAATGGGGAATGGATTATTTTTCAGCAAAGCACACACAGCAGATAAGTAATTGGTTTTTTGTATTCTTCAGTAAAGCATGATGGTAGAGATAGCACAGTAATACCTTATGTTTAATAATTACTGAGGTGCTATCCAAATAGGCTTGGACCTCTTTTTTATCTGTTAAGTCCACCACGAGGCAGCTGCAACCTTCCAGAACATCTTTGAAATAGGATGTGCATTATAAACGCTACAGAGAGATGCCAGTAAAGAGTTCAGTTGCTTTTTGAAAAAGCACCTTTAGGAAAATTCTTGAGTTATCCTAGTTTCCAGACAGATCTTAATACTAATAATAAATTTGCTGAATGAAAGGGAAGTGTACAAGACAGTGTGGGAAAATGTTAAAAGGAAAAGAAAAGAAAAAACTATTTTAAGGGGACAATCACATTAGGATTGAAAGGGAAGTTTGAAAGGGGATATCAGGAAACCCAATGAAATGTTCATCATTCAAAAACTGGGGAGGAGAAGAAAAAGAGTGGTGTACTTCATAGACAATATCCATCTCCTGGATAGGATGATTATTTTTTTTATTCTTATGGAAGACCAGCCAGATACCCTCAACTTCCTTGGTGCCATTGTGACACAACAAGTTGAGAAGTACACATTTCACCACTTTTAACTGCAACAACACTTGCAAAGATCTACAGACAGCACTATGCATTTTTTTCTACTGGATCGATTTAAATGTGAGGATTATAAAAATATTTTAAAACTGTATTCAGAAAACAAGATTAAAAATGATCAAAAGGTAAAACATTTTGTAAAGAGTATAAAGTTGGAAAAGAGGCTTGGATCATGTACTACTACTACTACTACTACTACTACTACTACTAATAATAATAATAATAATAATAATAATAATAATAATAATAATAATAATAATAAAGTTGGAAGGGACCTTGGAGGTCATCGAGTCCAACCCCCTGCTCAGGCAGGAAACCCTACACCATTTCAGACAAATGGCTGTCCAGTCTCTTCTTAAAAACTTCCATCTAAACTTGCTGCCTTCCTACAAAATAAAGACAAAAACTAAAACTTTTCTTTGTTTTACAGTGTTGCCATTCATTTTACAAGTTGAGCCAATCAACAAACCTTAGCCTACTTATAGGAGTTAGCATCCAGGATGTAGCAGGGATGCTGGCAGAACTCTGACTTCCAAGTTCCAATAGGTGCTGCGATCACAGTGCCAGGACTATTAGCACTTACATCTTTAAGAGACAAAGATTCTTTCAGATTTTCCAGTGGCATATAACAGTTTAAATAACCTTTAATAAGGGTGGACCCCATCACATGTGTTGGAACATTCACCTCATCCATAGCATTCAAAAATTCATCCCAAATTTTAGTTTTCTGTTTCTTAGCATGGGCTCAAT